AAAAAAAAAAAAAAAAAAAGAAAATCAGAAAAAAAAAGTTACTGCTAAAAATAGAAGACTGCATCCTTAAATCAGAGCTCTCACTTTGTCTATCAGGTTCTCTCAGTCAACCAAAAAAAAATCTATATCTATATATATAGATAGATAGATTCTTGTTTAGTCCTAGTTAGAGAGCTAGTTACATTCAGTAGAGTGTCTATCTGTTCCCAATAAACATCCCCCTAAAACAAGTCTCTAGCTCTAACCTGAACTAATCAATCTTAATACTCATTCACAAATGCTCCCCACACTCCACCCCACCCCACCCACAAGCACATGCACAGACACAAGCATGTTGTGTTGATCCAGGTACATCAAATTCCTTTCAGAGCCACAGGTTCACCAAATTCTCTCTCACTTTTCAGATCTTCACCTATGTTTTTCTCTCTGACTATAACAATCTCCCATTTCCCTGGCTAGCTCAATTCCAACAATCCTTCAAACTCTAGGTTAGATGTTGCTTCCTCCAGGAGGCCTTCTGATCCCTTCTGTTTTTTGTTAAGAATTCTTCACCCCTACTCCCATAGCATGCTATACATCTATACTATAATATCCCACTATCTTGTAACTATTTTTCTGTCCTTCCATTAAACTGGAAGCTTAAAGAGGACAGAGAAGATATCTATATTCTTCCCACTATATTCCCAGCCCTCAGGACCATGCCTGATTTTTGTCTGTCAAATGACATACTGGAGAAATCTATGTTTAAGAAAATCTTCTCTATAAATTAAACTTTCTTTTAGTCTACGTCAAGTTGATAGGGAAGTCAAAAAAGAGACCTCAAAGACTTTTTTTAATGGTTTATTTTTTGAAAGAAAGAAGCATGAGCAGAAAGAGGGAGACAAAGAATCCAAAGCAGGCTTCAGGCTCTGAGCTGTCTACAGAGCCCTACCCAGGGCTCAAACCCATGAACATAAGAGCATGACCTGAGCCGAAGTCAGATATTCAATAGACTGAAGCCACCCAGGCACCCCTAGACCTCCAAGATTTTCTAATTCAACTTACACATGTTACAAATGAGAAAAATAAGATGTCATCTATTCCATAAATTCAAACAATAGAAGTTCTTCCCTAAGTTAGTAGTTCCCATTTAAGGTTTTGTTGTTTTTCCCATGCAGTCACAATGACTTTGGTCATAACGGTCTAATCAGCTACTATTTTTTGATTGCTTTGCTCACTAACAATGAGGCACAGCCA